CAGGGGAGGTTTTAGGGAAGCTCTGTTTGAGAGCTCAAGAACAGAACGCCAAGCTGTCGGCACATACGTGTGCGTATCTTGCTTAGTTGTTCTCTGAGCCTGCACACAGCATTGTCAGGAGGCACAGGGAAAAAACGGAGTTGACTGGACAGAAATCGGAAAGGGGGGGTGGCCTGTCGATAGTTTGCAGATGTCAGTTCTGTATCGCGTCTTGGCAAGGAGCATCCTGGTGGATATGGGCAGGGGGAGAGGAGGAGTGTATGGGGGCTTCTGGGGGGGAGAATGGGTTTCCTGTTTCTCAGCTGGAAAAGTCAGCATCACTCATGGTATGCGTTCCAGAAGGACAGTTTGGGAGGATGCAGCAGCTGTCTGAGTTTCTGCTATTGCTGCAGGTGTGGCCCCCTCATCCAGGATAAATTCGTGGGTGCCAGAACTTTCGGGAGAAGCTGCTGCTCGCTGTCAGCCTTTGCCCGTTGGGGGAGGACTTGGAAAAATTTTTTTTTTCATTCTTGGTGCAGATGGTAGAGTTATTTTAAGTAAGTGATGTGCTGCAGTGAACATGGGCAACTCTTTTCATTTTTCAGCTTAATGAAAAAAAGAAAAGGGGGAAGGAAAAACCCCAGCTAGCCAACTGCGTGCTAATGCTTGTCTTTTTTGGATTCTAAATGTGTCCCAGGGCACTGAGATGGGATAAATATTTCAGCCACTAGAAAGTCCTGCTGTCAGTCTGAAAAGATTTCTTACCTCTTTTAAAGCAGACGGTAGTAATTTACGTGCACAAATCCAGACGCCCCCACGTCCCTTATTTTTAACTATGTATGTGTAGATCCCACTGCCTTTCTTGGGGGTGAGATTGAGGGAGCGGGTGGGACTTTGCAGGGTGAGAATAAACCAGGACTTCTAGAATAGCCGTGGGTATGTGTTGCGCTCTTCATCACCTCTCTGATGACCCTGGCTCCCAGTATAGTCACATTCTGAGGTCCTGAGGGATAGGACAACACATTACATTTTGGGGGGATGAATGGGGGGCGCAATTCAACCTGTCTCACCAGGTGAAGGAAGAATTGGCGTCTGCAAGTAGCCATGTTATGGGGTCCTCCTTATTCATAAGGGCACAGAGAAGCCGTCGGTAGCATTTTAAAGTCTCACTGTGCTGTGAGCTGGAGGAACCTGGGGGGCAGGGGAAAGGCAAGTCGGAGGGTTGGTTTCCCCAGCTTTCTCAAGTATCTCTTGGCCTCGGCACTCCAGACATCTTGGGCTGGATGACTCTGTGTTGTGAGGGGCAGCTTTGTGCATCGCAGATGTGCAGCATTCCCGGCCTCAATTTGCTAGATGTTGCAACCAAAAACATCTCCTGGACATTGCCATGTGTGCCCCGGGGTGGGCAGAATTGTCCCTTGTTGAGAACCACGAGGTTAAAAAATTTTTTTTCTAATGTTTGTTTATTTTTGAGAGACACAGAGAGAAACAGAGCGGGGGAGGGGCAGAGAGAGATACACAGACTCTGAAGCAGGCTCCAGGTTCCGAGCTGTCAGCACAGAGCCCGACATGGGGCTTGAACCCACGTACCGTGAGATCATGAGCTGAGCCAAAGTCCGACACTTAACCGACTGAGCCCCCCTGGCGCCCCAAGAATCACTGTTTTGGATGGGATGGTACCAGTTTAATAAAGGCGCATTGGATGGGTTTCAGGAAGCTTTTTGAAGACAAAGCCAATAGGATTTAACATCTCTTTGCTTTGGTTTCTTTCCCCTCTCACGTTTGCGTTTGGTGACCTTGTCCCTTCCTGAAAGCACAAGGCTCCGCACCGCCCGCATGTATCATGGAGTTGCTCAGAAGCTCACAGAGAGTGCTCCTCTCTGTTAGGCTTCGCCAGGCCCGGGGGTCCATGGTCCTGCTGTGAAGCCCCTCACGCCCATAGCTGGCCGGGCCACCTGTGTATGATGGATGTGGTGTTTGGTCTCTGCCCCACACCCTTCCACTCATCAAGGCCTTAAACGCCCACCCTGTTGACACCCCGGAACCTAATCTGGCCTGTTTTCTGGCTCTGGAAATCTGTTTATCACAACAGGATTTCACAGTTGCAGTGGCTTTTCTAGGGGCCCTGTCTTCGAAGAGGCAACTCTTCAGAGGCATATGTGAGCGCTTTCCAAACAAAAGAGAATGACAGTTGCCTTCTGGAGCCCTGAGGAATTCTCTGGGAGCTTGCTGGTGGAGCCCAGCACAGTTGTACAGAAACAGCTGGATTGGGTGGGCCGTCTGGGTTGTGCGTTCTGTGGCTGGCTGGCATCCAGCACCTGGCTGTCCTTCTAGGCTTCTCTCCCGTGACTCCCCTTCTCCTGTGACTACACTCGGGCGGAGGTGATGAGCTGGTCTCATGCTCTTCTCAGGGCTGCTGGAGGCTTTCTGGAGTCCAGCTTTGAGAGGGATTCTGTTACTGAGTGTGGGCTCAGTGACATAGTGCCATGATCGGGAATGGACGACCCAGTGGTGGCATAGGGGAATGGGAACACGGTGTGCTGGCGATTCCCGACAGTCAGGGCTGTGAGTATTTTCTATTCCATACCCTTCAGAGCCCTGGGCTGAGCCTTCCTGTGCTCATTAGGCCTGAAGGGCCTTCTGTTCCATCTCTGTGTGTATCAACATCCACTGTGAATGCCACCTCTTCCCTTTAACGCGTTAAAATTGGACTTCATCTTAAGAACATTGGGGAGCCATTTAATGGATTTTTAAAGGGAGGAAGTGTCGTGATCAATTTGCTCTTTAGAAAGATCCTGCTGGCTACAGAGAAGGACATGGCAGGGAGGCGAGGGGGCCAGACTGGTGCGAGATGCTGATCTGTGGGCTGGAGTCAGGCCTGTGGCACTGGGACTCGACTGCAGGGTGCGGGGGTTGGCCCTCCACAGGCGGTGATGGAGTGAGGAGGGGTCAAGAGACACGTGTAGGGTGCTAACGTGGGCAGTAGGGCAGGGCGAGGCCCCTCGCTCTGGCTACCATTCTGGAATTCTTCAGTGAGCGACGAAAGCTCGTCTCCAGTAGGGAGGTGTGCACGCATGCTGTTATCCAGCGCGGTGGGGTGCATAGGCTGCGAGGAAGGTCCACGGCCGACGTGGTACTGCTTGCCCGGGGCTGTGTCCTTCCCAGTTTGTTGTTGCCCATTTGTCCTAGTTGTAAAATATTTTAGCACCACCTCGGTAGTGCTAGGGCTGCACAACAGAGTGGGAGCTCGTTCCTGCCTGGAGAAGTCAGGGAGCAGTTCAGATGGATCGTAACATATGAGTTGTATGCAGAGGTACGCAGGGGCTTCCTGGCGGACTCACAGAGCGAAGGGCATTCCGGGTAAACATAAGAAGCTGTGTAAACGCTAGTGGCATGAATGAGAGGTCCCGTCCGGGATCTGGAATGAGATGCCTCTCTTTGGCAAAGCTCATGAAAGAGGATCCTGGTTCCGGCTCTCTTCCTGTGCTCCCAGGAAGGTCTGGACGCCCCTCTTTCTATGCACATGGCAGTTAGGACCAGTAGCATAGTCTCGTGCCTTCCTGGCCTGGAGAGGGGAGCCCCACCTTTCATCTCTGCATCTTTAGGATGTAGAGCCTTAGGACCAGACCTACATAGGCCTGGTCATAAATGTTCAATAAATGCTTTTTGAAGATTCAGAAAGGACACTCAAGGGGGCCTGGTCTTTTTTTCTCCTTTTCCCCTAAAAAACTTTCCTTCCAGATGCCTCCTTATCTCCTGGCCATTGAACACACTGGCTCAGACTGATTAGATTCGAGCTCCCTTGAAAATCTGTCCCCGGGGTCTGTTGGTGGATGCATGTTCAGCACTCCCATCCCCACGAAGACCCCTTGGCCTTCCCTGTTGGTTTTCCAGACTAACACTTGGCCTTTCTCGTCAGGGCCTTGGCATTTGGTGACTGTGCTCAGTGGCATGGAATCTAGACATTGGGGCTTGGTTCTAAACCTCCAGGAATTCTTGGCGAATAGTTCAGTGACCTTGTGCCCTGAGTTCAAGTTTCAGTTTGGCCCTTCCTCCCCATATGACCTTAGGTGGGTTTGTGGGCTAAAGTGAAATGGTCTGCCAGTGTTCCTGCTGACAGGCCCAGGTTCAAGAATTTGGTGACTGTGGGGCCACGGAGCTCGAGGCCTGGACAGCGCCCATGATTCTTACAGTTAGAGGCATTGGGAGTTTAGAACTCACTCCTGTCCCAGAACCATCATTTTTAGCCACAGCTGATGGCCTGGAAAGGATTTGGGTTTTACAACCAACCTTTTTTTTTTTTTTTTTTTTTTTTTTGGTAAGGTTTATTTATTTTGAGAGAGAGACAGAGTGTGAGCAGGGGAGAGGCAGAGAGAGGGAGACGCAGAATCCCAAGCAAGTTCCAGGCGCTGAGCTGTCAGCACAGAGCCTGATGTGGGGCCTGAACCCCTGAGCAAGATCATGACCTGAACTGAAGTCAGAGGCTCAACCGACTGAGCCACCCAGGTGCCCCTATTTCTTTTTCTTAAAAAAGAAAAAAAACATATATATATATACACATATGTATATACATATATTAGAGAGAGAGCAAGGGAGAGGGGCAGTGGGAGAGGGAGAGAGAGAATCTTAAGCAGGCTCTGTGCTCAGTGCAGAGCCTGATGCTGGGTTCGATCCCATGACCCTGGGATCATGACCTGAGCAGAGATCAAGAGTCGGATGCTCAACTGAACTGAGCCACCTAGGTGCCCCACGACCAGGCTTTTTGACAGAGAAAGAAGAAAAGCAGTGGACATCAGTTGTGTGCCAAGTACTTGCTATAGGCTTTCCCTGTATTTTTCCATTTAGTTCTTTCTGAATCTCTAGGGTGGGGTGGGGTAGGGTGGGTCATTTTGCAGATGAGGAACCTGAAGCCCAGGGAAGTAATGTTGCCTACTGGAAGTCTCACGTATGTGACCCATGTCCAACAGGAACCCCGGCCGCCTCTGCCTGTCTCATGTCCCTGTCCCCTCTGTCTTTTGCAGAGAGCCAGCTGCTCCCTGGAAACAATTTCACCAACGAGTGCAACATTCCAGGCAACTTCATGTGCAGCAACGGGCGGTGCATCCCCGGCGCCTGGCAGTGTGACGGGCTGCCCGACTGCTTCGACAAGAGTGACGAGAAGGAGTGCCGTGAGTGGCCTGGCCCTGCAGGGTGGGGTGGGGGAGATCCCGGGGCAGAGGGGAGGAAGGCCTGATCCCACTCAGACTCGGCACACTGCGCCTCGGGCCAGCCGTCCCACCCTTTCCACTCCACAGCTCTGCCTGGGAGCAGCATGGTCTGTGCAGAGACAGGGGCCCTGGTGGGGACAGAGTCACAGCCTCAGGAGAACAGAGGTCCCTTCCACCAGGCTCTTCTAAACCCCACCCTGAGGCACTACTTGTGCTTTCCATATGCGGACTCTGAGACTGCCAGAGGTTATATGGCTGCCATCTCTCCCCACTAGCAGGCGGCAGATCTAGATTTGAATTCAGGGCTGCCTGACCCCAAGGCCCCAGCTGGAAATCATCTTTCACATCTTGTACTTGGTGGAATGTTCTTAGTGGTTCAACAAGGTGCAGCATCATGCCAAGTATGCAGCATGGGGCTGGTAGTGACTTGATAGCAGTTTGCTCTCACCTGCTCTCCTCCCTGCTAACATGGCATGGGCGAATGGGGGTGGCATTCTTTCTTACCCTCCCCACCCACCCCACCTCCTTCTTCAGCCTCTTTCATATTTTGTGCCCTCAAAATCTGCAGGTGTGACTTGAGGGCGTCCAGGGTGTCGGATGATCACTCTCCCTGCCCCGTAGAGTGCATTTCCCTTCCACACCAGAGTGTGGCGCCACAGAGTGAGCTCGGCCATGGCGCCCTGGCAGGTGGTAAGCACACTTGAGGAGCACTGGGCCCAGGGTTCTCTAGTGGGTCACTGCCGTGGGACCACACTGCTGGCCACTGGTTCTTGGCTGGTCTGTGGGCTTTGGGCAGCAGGCCACTGGGCCTCACTGACAGGAGAACTGTGTGTTCTGGCTCTGAATCTGCCCCCTCTCTAGAAGCCAGCTGAGGAAATGGCTGAGAGATGATAATTTGAACTTGAACGTAGCTGTTACTGGGATTTGACGCACAGGAAGGAGAACTGGGTTTGGAGCTCAGTTTGGAGCCAGCGCTCCCCCACCTGCGTGATGCTCTCCCTCAGACAGGCTGCCCACTCAGGGGCTGGCGCCTTGTGTGTCTCAGGGCTCCAATATCCCTGCCTGCCCCCAGATCCAGAGAGGGTTTGGGAGGGGGTGGACTAGGAATATGTTGTTGTGTGTGTGTGTGTGTGTGTGTGTGTGTGTGTGTATGTATGTGGAATATTAATTTTGCTTGTTGCAGGTGACTTTTTTCTAAATGGACCAGCATACGTAATGCATTTTCATTTTTCAGAATTTTTACAACAGTATTAATAATGTCTATTTCAGCTTTCTCTGTTTCTAGGTCTTTAAAATTGCTCGAAACGTAATGTTTGTAATTTGAGTTACATATGTGATTGTGTGTGTGAACTCTACAGACTGTCCAGTTTTAGGGCGCCTGGGTGGCTCAGTCCATTAAGCATCTGATTTCAGCTCAGGTCATGATCTCACAGTTCATGGGTTTGAGCCCCGCTTCGGGCTCTGTGCTGACAGCTTGAAGCCTGAAACCTGTTTTGGATTCTGCCTCCTTCTGTCTTTGCCCCTCCTCCACTCATCCCCACCCCCCTCAAAAATAAACAAACATTAAAAAAAAGAATTTAGAATCTGTCCAGTTTTGAGCATTATTAAAAGTACACAAATATGTGGAATGACCATTTTTGGAATATGGCGTATATTTGAACTCCAGTTAATGCAGATTTTTCTCTAGCTGAGCTGGGGCCATTCAGCACAGGGTCCGTTTATGAAAGAATACAGGGTTTGGAGTTGAGACTTAACTTTTATTTCCAGCTTTGTCAGTAGCAGCTGTGTAATGTTAGGATATTCTGTGTCTTGTGTCAGTCCAGTTCCATGATTTCAGAATTCACGCACAAACTGGAGAAAGTGATGGAAAGAGAATTTAAATAAATAAAAAAAAAAGCCCGGCAGCTGCCTGGCACTATTTGGTTTGGTTTGGAACAGGTTTGCCTTGGCTGTTCTCTTTTTTTTCTCCTCATTTCCTACCCATAACCCCCAGGCATAGTAAGGACTTGATTGGATTCACTTAGTGTTTTGATCAAAGCATAATTTTAGGGGCGCCTGGTGGCTCAGTCACTGAAGCGTCTGACTCTTGATTTTGGCTCAGGTCATGATCTCATGGTTCATACGATGGAGCCCCACATTGGGCTCTGCACTGACGACGTGGAGCCTGCTTTGGCTTCTCTCTCTCTTCTCTCTCTGTCCCTCTCCCTGCTCGTGTGCACTCTCTCTTTCTCAAATAAACATTAAAAACAACAACCACCAAAAAAACATACACACAAACACGCCCATTAAAGAATCTCTCCTCTGTTGACCTCTTTTTTTTCTTTTGTCTTTCACTTATAAAAACAGAGCATTAAAAAGTGAGATAATAGAGGGGTGGAAAAGAGGTCACTTTTCTCAAACAAATTCTCCTTGCCTTTTGAATTGTTTACATCTTCGTTCCTCATCTAGGACCTGATGGTATGAGCACTGGGGAAAGACTGTGCAAGTCTCTCTGCCCAGACCACGTGCTCTGTGATCTTAGGGAAGGTACCAGCATGTTCTAGACCTTAGCCACTAGGAGGATTGAGTGAGAAGCCCTTAACCTCCTGGTGCCTCTGTTTCCTCCTCTCCAAAATGAGAATAATAAGGCTTCTAGTAAGCATTGCCGTGAATCTTAAATGCACGTTGAGCACATAGCACGGTGCCTGGGTGTAGCAAGTGGCTTGTAAACGTTAGCTGCTATTGGCCACTCTGCACAAAGTGTTTTATACAGGCCTCATCATGGCGACGCATGATTGCGTAACCCATTTTTTTCTACTTCATATTAGGGGCCCTCTGCCATGTGACCATACTTCACCTTCACGGTTGTTGTTTTGTGAGGCTGCTACTGGTGCATGAAGTTGATGCCATTGTAACCCAACCATTCCCCTGTGGTTGCGTGTTCAAACCTTTGGGGTCAGTTAAGAAACCTCTCCATACCTGGAGGACAGTATGCACAATGATTTCAGCCAGAGCCAGACTCGCCGGGCTAATGTCTTCCAACTGCATCAGCTTTCCGAGGGCACCCAGAGAGTGGCTGTTATAGAATTCATGCCACCTTGTGTCCTTTCTTTGATTCTTCGGAACAACGCGGTACTTCAGGGGAGGAGAGAGAAGGTGGCTGATTGCCCCACCTCAGAGAGGTGATTGCTTCAGGTATCCTGTGAAATAGCGTTGCCATTTACAAGGTTGTACACTTGACAAAAGAGAATTCATGCCCTTTCCAAAGGGTGAGAGAAGAGGCCAGACAGCTGTGTCATGGTGGGGTTATGATGCAGTGAGAAGTTATTCTGTATCCACAGCAGAGGAGAGGTTTTCATAAGACAGGAAGAAACTTTTTTTTATCATAAACATAATAAAAATCACATACTGTGAAACTTGGAGCGGAGGAGAAAAATGACAGCATCACACCTGAAGTTTCAACTCTAAAGAACCACTGTTAGCCTCTTAGAAGTTTTTACTCAGGGTTTTTCCCAGTTGTAATCACTGTGGGTATACAGTGTTCTATTTTGATCTTTCCAGGTAACATTTTGACCTTTTAACATTTTAATGTATTTTTTTTTTTTCAATTTCTCTAGGAGCTTTAACGCCTAGAAAAATAGTCCACTGAGTTGGTATAATATAGTTTGTGTACTCATTATTTGGCATTTGCTTCTATTTTTTCACTGTTAGAAGTAGTGTTCAATGTTGTGAACATGAGGGTGGATATGACTTTGCCCGTTTTGAGAGATTTTCTTAGGCTGGGTTCTCAGAAATGAAATTACTAGGTCAAGGGACAGGAAGCCGTTTTGGGTTCTTGAAACAGATGCCCACTTGTTTTGCTAAAGGTTTGCACCAGCGTGCCCTCACTGGCAGTGTGTGAGAATTCTGATTTTATTTTAGTCTTGGCAGCATGAGGAATATCTTTAAAAATATTTTTTCTGGCTAATAGAGAAGTTATATATTTTTATTTTTTTATTATCTAAAGAGTGAGTGTTTTCCCAACCCCTATTCACTAGTCCTGTTTCTGCCTTGGTGAAATATCTATTAATGGACTAGAATAAATTTCCACCCGGGTTGAGTCATTAAATTTTCCACCTTGTGATCTGGAGAACCCCCTCCTTAGAGTTTTGAGAGAAGAGGCTCATTTTGGGATAGTTTGAGTGAATTTCTGCTTTTGGTTGGTAAAATGTCCCAAATGATCATTTTATCCAAATAACTTTTTTTTTTTTTTTTTTGGTAGTAAAAGGAATAGAGATGTTTTAGAAAAACGTAGAAGCCCCTTCCATGGAAGCACAAGTTATTTGGGACCTTTCTCTAGGTTGCACTCTCCCTGGTGTTTGCACTAGTTTGCAACTAGTTGCAACTCATTTGATTGTTAGGAGGCTTATGAGGAAAGGACCGTTGTCATTTCCAGATGACGAAACTGAGCCACAGTGAGATGATGCAGCACTCGCCTGATGTCCCAAAGAAGCAGCGCCCCTCCCCTTCCTCCATCAGCGGCCATGAGCCTCCATCACAGGCCAGATCTCCTGGATCTGTGTTACTCTGCCGAATCAGATTCTCCTGTATGTTATTGCTACTGACCTGCTCTCTTTTCTTTGTTAAAAAATGTTTATTTAGTTTAGACAGAGAGCAGAGGAGGGGCAGAGAGAGAGGGAGACAGAATCCCAAGCAGGCTCCATGCTGTGGCCAGCACAAAGCCCAACGCTGGGCGTGAATTCAGGAACCCTGAGATCATGACCTGAGTTGAAATCAAGAGTCAGACACTTAACTGACTGAGCCACCCAGGCACCCCTCTACTAACCTGCTTTGTTTTTGTTTAAAATTTTTTTAATGTTTTATTTATTTCTGAGGGAGAGAGAGAGACAGCGTGAGCAGGGGAGGGTCAGAGAGAGAGGGAGATACAGAATCCGAAGCAGGCTCCAGGCTCTGAGCTGGCTGTCAGCATAGAGCCCGATGTG